GACCCATGTGCTGGGAATTCACTCCTGTGACCTCTGTTGGCCTGAGAGTCTGGAGGCATCTCCAGCATCTTCTAGGACGTTGCTGTTTTGTCTCCTGAGAGGTTCTCCTTAGACTCATCTTCTTAACTTGCCCGCCCCAGGTGCCACCTGGCACATTACTGGCTGTGCTGAGCCTTCCATCTGTTTCCAGGTGAGCCGCTTTGCCTGGCACTAAATGACCCTGTCCTGTCTCGTGGTTCATCCTTTTGTCTTCCATTGTCAGCACAATTCCTTTCTGTCTCCCTTTTGTTTTTCATTGAATCTCGTCTTTAGGCCATGGGTCTGTGGCTGTTTTTCACAGCCCGGAAGCCTCCCTTCTTGTTGCACTGCGTGCCGTCAGGAGTGGTTGTTGGGCAAGTGCGCTGTGGGTGATGGGTCCTGCTGCAGAGCCCAGGTTGGCTGAAGGCATTTGCGATCTGGTCTAGCTGTGAAAAGAAGAGAAGCAAAAAGCAAAGGAGAAAAGGAAGATGTGGTAAGAATACACAGAAGAACTATATAAAAAAGATCTTCACAACCCAAATAATCACGATGATGTGATTACTCACCTAGAGCCAGACATCCTGGAATGTGAAGTCAAGTGGGCCTTAGGAAGCATCACTACGAACAAAGCTAGTGGAGGTGATGGAATTCCAGTTGAGCTATTTCAAACCCTAAAAGAAGATGCTGTGAAAGTGCTGCACTCAATATGCCAGCAAATTTGGAAAACTCAGCAGTGGCCACAGGACTGGAAAAGGTCAGTTTTCATCCCAATCCCAAAGAAACGCAATGCCAAAGAATGCTCAAAATACCACACAATTGCACTCACCTCACACGCTCGTAAAGCAATGCTCAAAATTCTCCAAGCCAGGCTTCAGCAATACATGAACTGTGAACTTCCAGATGTTCAAGCTGGTTTTAGAAAAGGCAGAGGAACCAGAGATCAAATTGCCAACATCTGCTGGATCATCGAAAAAGCAAGAGAGTTCCAGAAANTTTTTCCAGTAGTCATGTATGGATGTGAGAGTTGGACTATAAAGAAAGCTGAGCACTGAAGAATTGATGCTTTTGAACTGCGGTGTTGGAGAAGACTCTTTGAGAGTCTCTTGGACTGCAAGGAGATCCAACCAGTCCATCCTAAAGGAAATCAATCCTGGGTGTTCATTGGAAGGACTGATGTTGAGGCTGAAACTCCAATATTTTGGCCACCTGATGTGAGGAGCTGACTCATTTGAAAAGACCCTGATGTTTGGGAAAGATTGAAGGCAGGAGGAGAAGGGGACGACAGAGGATGAGATGGTTAGATGGCATCACTGATTCAATGGACATGAGTTTGGGTAAACTCCAGGAGTTGGTGATGGACAGGGAGGGCTGGCGTGCTGCGGTTCATGGGGTCGCAAAAAGTCGGACACGACTGAGTGACTGAACTGAACTGAACTGAACTTGTTGGATGCACAGCTTGGTGGGAGTGACACGCTGCACATGGGGTGTCTGGCCCCATTTACAGTGTTGGAGCTCCCGTGGCCTTGTCTTTCCTGCTTAGCTGAGGGGGTTTTGGCCCTGGCTCACATTGGAGTTGCCTGGGCCCCATGGCAAACCAACTAAATCAAAATCTCTGGGACCAGGGCCTGGAATTCCCTGGAGATTTTAATGGGCAGCCAAGGCTGAGAAGCAAGACTGGAACCTTCTTTTTAGAGCTGCTCACTCCCAGTGGACTAGATGGTCGGGCCGACTCTGATCCAGGCCCACTCCCTCCCAAGGCAGTACTAGGGTCTGTCTGGAGAGCAGAGGAGGCTGCGCCTTAAATGAAGAAAGTGTGTTCACAGACCAACCCTTGATTCCAAGCCTGGTATTTACCAAGACTTTACTGGCTCTTTATCTCCCGGTCGATAAAAACACCATGGAAACTCTGCCTGTGGGGTTGCGGGGGTGGGCAAAACTTTCCTGGGAAGCACAAACATGCTTGTTTGTGAACCTGCCTGCAGACCTTGGGTGAGGCTGGCCCCTTCCCGGGCCTCTGCCGTTGGCAGGGTGGGGCAGGGTGGGGCCAGTCCCAACCCCTAACTGGGAGGCAGGGCTGGGCCTGGAGCCAGGCCCTCTCTGGACATCTTATTCCCTCTGAAGTGTGGGCTCCAGAATCCCTGTCTTGGGGTCTGTAAGGAAGCCCTGAGACTGACTGCAGGCCCAGAGGGGAGGAGGTATGAACATGAGGGGTGGGGGGCTCTTAGGGTTGGGAGGATTGGGGGAGCCTTTCAGAAGCCTGCTATTTAGGATGCTTTTCTTAGGGGAAGTACTGATTGAAACTGCCCACCCTGGTAAGGAACATGGAACTAACAAGCCACCACCAACTGGAAGAACTTGGGAAAAGTCAAAAGGAGATGCCACGTGTCCTACCGACCTCCCAGAGCACTCCTCGTTGGAATCCATTTTGACTGAACAATGTGGGTGCCACTAGAAAGGACCCTGAGTCAGAAAGATTGGCCAGAGACAACCTGGAAACTAATACCATCACCATGAAACCCAAGACTGCAAGCAGTCCTTTTGGATTCCCTTACCCTACTGCTCTCCACCTGGGCGGCCCGTCCCAACAAAGTCTCTTGCACTTGTGTCTCCTTGGATAATTCATTTCTGAGTATTAGACAAGAGCTCCCTTTTGGGGGCTGGAAGGGGACCCCCTTCCTGCAACACTTTGGTCCCTTCTCTTCGGCAGGACCTAGAAGATCTGGGTGGGGCCAGCTCCATCTTCCTCTGAAATGACCTGATGGAGGTGGGAGACTTTGCTGGGGACATGGAGTCCTGATCACCAACAGGCAATCACTCCTCCAACATACTCCCAGAAAAGAGTTGCACCCACTTTGATATCAAGGCCAAACCTCCTTCCTCCTTCCTGCCTGTGGAATTTTTCAAAGATGTAAGACAGAGGTTATCACTAGAGCCCAGCTCATGCACCTGCTCTATGCTTGTTTCATGCATGTGAGCACCAGGCTACCGTCCTTCCTCCACGCATCACCCACTGACCAGCCCAGCCATGGCCTCATCCTCTGATCCTTCTCACTGTGTAGCGTGCCCTACTCTGTTACATTCCATTGGGGATCGTTCTCCCAGCATTTAGGGTTTCTCTTTGGGACCACAAGCCCCAGAAGAAGACCACAGCTGTTCTCCCAACCAATTCAGGCAGCAGGGGAAAGGGCCAGTGGGTGGCAGTTTGTTGTTTAGTCACTTAGTCGTGTGTGACTCTTTGTGTCCCCATGGACTGTAGCCCATCGGGCTCCTCTCTGCATGAGATTTCCCAGGCAAGAATACTGGAGTGGGCTGTCATTTCCCTCTCTAGGGGATCCTCCCAATCCAGGGATGAAACCCACGTCTCCTGCCTTGGCAGGTAAAGTCTTTACAGCTGAGCCTCCAGGCAGGACTGACTCCAAATTCAGATTCAGTTCTTCACCAGCTGAGGTTCTCTTTATTCATCTTAGGGCAGGTGACGCCAAGTTAGGGACACTGCAGGCTGTTCCCAGATCCTTTTCCTGGTTTTCCTGGATATGCTGCCCAGCCTCTCCGCAGACTGATGCTAGGGAGCCATCATTTGTTTGTGGCCTATTTGTTATAGCACCTAGAGTTATCCTAAGTATCATACTGCCTCACAGATGTTGGATGTTGGGGAGATGAAATAATGCGTATGAAAGACACGTGCCTGAAACACAGAAAGTGGGGGCCCTTAGTAGATGTCAGTTCATTTATTTCTTAATTAATATTAATTGTTGCCAAGCACATGGACAAACATGGCCTCAGGCCATTTCTAAGACTCTGGATGGATGACGTAGGTTATTTTAAATTTATATTATTAATTAGTATGAAGATAACATATATAATTATAATTATTTTATAACTACTATAAGCTTAGTTGCTAGAAACCCAGTTTTTAAAAATATTAATTTATTTATTTTAATTGGAGGCTAATTACTTTACAATATTGTGGTGGTTTTGCCATACATTGACATGAATCAGCCATGGGTGTACGTAAGTCTCCCATCCCGAATCCCCCTCCCTCCCCATCCCATCCCTCTGTTGTCCCAGTGCACCGGCTTTGAGTGCCCTGTCTCATGCATCAAACTTGGACTGGTCGTCTATTTCACATATGGTAATATATATGTTTCAATGCTATTCTCTTAAATCATCCCACCCTCGCCTTCTCCCACAGAGTCCAAAAGTCTGTTCTTTATATCTGTGTCTCTTTTGCTATCTCACATATAGGGTCGTCATTACCATCTTTCCAGATTCCATATATATGCGTTAATACACTGTATTGGTTCTTTTCTCTCTGACTTACTTCACTCTGTATAACAGACTCCAGTTTCAACCACCTCATTAGAACTGACTCAAACGTGAGGAACCCAATTTTAAGGTGCCACCATAGGATACTTTGTGCTCACAAAGCTGTCACAGTCAGCTTTGGATTGCAAGTGACAGAAAACTATTTCAAATTGGCTTCAGCGAAGTAAATAGTTGAACAATCAGTAAATACCCGGGTAATGATTGACAGGCTTACAATGTATCACGCAGGTGTGGCTGTATCCAACACTCAGAGAGCTCACCCCTTGGTCTCGCAGATTATTCCAAAGAAGGTTCTCATATGAGGAGGGCAGGCTGGCCCTCAGCTGTCATTCAGCCACACCCTCCCAACTCAGAAGGCACTGTCTGTCTCCCAAATACTGCACTTTGGGGGTGGATATCTAAATTTTGGGCCTCCCAGGCGGTGCTAGGGGTAAAGAACCTACCTGCCAGTGCAGGATAGGCAAGAGATGTATCCCTGGGTACATCCCTGGGTTCGTTAGGTACATTGATCCCTGGGTCTGGAAGATCCCCTGGAGGAGGGCAGGGCAACCCACTCCAGTATTCTTGCCTGGGAAATCCCATGGACAGAGGAGTCTGGGGAGCTCAGTACATGGGGTCGTACAGAGTCAGACACAACTGCGCACACATCTAATTTTGAGCGTCATACATCTGGCTGCATGAATTGAGGCTCTGTCACTCTTGTCATGAGGCAGTTTTACTGAAATCTCCAGGCCCTTCATAAAAAGACCAGAGACACCCTCTTACTCTTGCCCTGCAGGCAAGTCAGATGGAAAACCAGACCACAGGGAACGAGCTAAAGGAACAAAGAAAATTTTAGGCCGGAGGAGGGACACTTGGGGAGCTGCTGAGAGCCATCTTCAGCCTCTGCTAAGGGGCCTGGGTCAGTGGGCCCTGCAATTCCGGAAGGAAGCAGCTGGATGGGCAGGGGAGTGCCTTTTGCCCGAGGGCCCTGGGGCAGGAAGGGCTGCCTGGGGATGAGGGTGAGCAATGTCGGGGCTGCGAGGGGCACAGCTTGGAGGGGTGCTGCAGCAGGAGCCAGAAACCTCCCATGGAAAGCGACTCGCTGCTCTGCCTGGACTAGCCCGGCAAACTGGCCTCCCTGGCCCAGCGTTCATATCTGTCCAGAAGGAGTGCTGACGCCTTCCTTGCAGGAGATCAGATGAGGGTAACTGAGATGGAGCTTTGCAAATAGGAGCACGTTAAACAGATATGACCATGCTCAGCCCAGGAAGCTGCAAGGGCAAGGGGCAGAGGGAGCTTCATGACCCAAGTGGGGGGCGGAGAAGGGAAGGTGCGCAGTGGGGGGTGAGGTTAAGGCCCCCCTCTCGGATGTGCCTGCCTGCGAGCCGATGGCAGGGCACCCTTGTCTGGAGCTCTGCAGAGACCCCCAGTGAATGTCTTCAGACCCCTACAACAAGGTGGGGATGAGATCCTGCCTTGGAGGGTCGGCATGTCGTGGAGAGTCAGGCAGGGGCTGAACCATGGGCACGATGAATGAGTCAGGTGATCAGTGCTACGGAGAAAATCAGGACATGACAAAGGAGACCAGTCGGGTGTATGGGGGGTGCTGACCACTCACCCCAAGGAGAAGGGGTCACAGTAAGAACATGAGGATGCTAAGGGCAGGGTTGGAATGCAAACTTCTGATCGGATCTGATCTCACCACCCTGGGGAGGCTGAAGCCACTGGTTCCATCATGGGCCCCCTCTCTTGACGAGAGCTGGGCTCTGGGGCCTGGGGACCAGCAGAGTTGGGGGTGGGGGAGGGGGCTCTTACCCCGGGAGGGTCAGGGCTAAGCTGAGCCAGGGGGAGAGACACCTTTTCCCCATGGGTCCATCTGAACCACACCCGCACGGGCAGGACTTAGGCCCCTGGGTCTCCCGGGGGAGGGGTGAATTCTACCAGCTAGCCAGCAGGGCCTGCAGACTTCACTTTATCAGGCTTGCAGGAAACACAAATCTACGTAGGCGTCCCTCTGGCTGCTTCCTGTCAGCTGGGCTTCAGGCCAGACCGGGTCTACTCTCCTGGGAATGACCTACCGGGAGGCTGCCGGCTGTAGAGTCAGGCAGAAGACGGTTCTAATTCCACTTGACCCTGGAGCTGAGTTGACATTGAGGGCCTTCGATTCCTTCTCTGAAAATGGAGAGTGCGATACCTGCTCTTGCGGTCAGATGGGACAATTGCTGAGGCATTTAGCCAGTGCCTGGCCCTCAGGAATTGCTCGATGGTTCCCGGGGCCTGGGGGCTGTGGGTGGAGCGGGTAGGCCTTGCAGAGGTTCTGGAGATCTGTACCCTAGCTGTGGGGCTGCAGGCAGGCCTTGTACTCCATTGGGACTGAGTTCCCAATGTCGTCTACAGTGGGGAGGTGCCAGCTCCACCCAGAGGGGCTGTTGGGGTGTCCCCAGAGATGAGATGGGATTCGGTTCCTCAGGAGAACATGAGAATTTTCCAGACAGCCCCTCACGACCTCACTGTCCTCAGAAACAACCCCCTTTGCATCCCAGGACCATGCTTGAGAGAGTAGGAGAATCGCTCCCATACTCACCTTCCAATCCTTACACCTGGGAGTGCCTAGTCATGTGTACTTGGCAGTGACTTGAGACTTCTGATTATAGCTCTAATGTTTCCAGATTCAAGCCACATCTCTCAACTCACCCTTGGACACCCACTAATGACATCTTACTGTACCCGTTTCTCACACGAGAAGACTGAGGTCTGGAGGGGTCAGGTGCTATGCTCAGGGGCGCACAGCCGACCAGTGCTGACTCTATGTGGACCAGGGCTTCTAGAACAGGGCAGGCTGTTCTAAACGTTCTAGTGTGTGTCTGTCACCCAGGACAACTTAAAGCACCCTCTTCACTCTCAAAAGCCCCCTGTTGGATTCTAAATTACATGGTCTGAAAAGAAGGTCATGATGGTTTCTACTACATCCCAGCTGACTTGAAGGGGTTCAGCCTACGTGGGGGATTATAGCCCACACTGTAGAACTGGGGGGTGAGAAAGAGGGAAGGGGCTCTGTTCCCAGATGACCAGCTGCCCCCTGCCTCTGCTTCAGGTGCTTGTCCTCAGTCTGGCCTTTCCCGGCCCCGGATTGGCACTTCCCTTACCACCACCCTGCTTCCCCTTCCCCAGCCTCCCCACCAGGCTCCCTGAAGCTCTAACCACCTGCTCCCCATAGCTCCCCAGAGTCCACAGGCAGACATACTCACAGGTGCCCTCACTGGGCATTCTCCAGGGACAGTTCTGTCTAAAGATATCAATATGGTCCATCTGTTTCTGACCTGCCCCCCCATCCCTCACCACCAGAGACCCAGCTTCATCCAGACACCAAGCTCTAAGACCCCCAGCCAAGTCAGCCCAGTATCACCAGGTGCCATGCCCTTCCCTGCTTTCTAGCTGTGTCCAATTCGCTTACAGTCTCATAGCACCGATGGACCATCAGACAGATATTCTAGGTCCAGGGGTGCTGGGGAAGGGAGGAAGAGGGGCCCCCAGGTTGCTACCCGAGCTACTGGGGCTGTAACAGACCCTGAGACTCTGTTGTGGAAGGTGAGTCCCAAATCCACAGCAAACGATGTTCACGAATAGGAAGGGTCCTGTGGATGGCCTGGCTCCTGGCTGAGCTTAGGTGATGGGCTGATGCGAGTGTGTGCTGGGGCGGGGGTGGAGGGCGTCACGTGTCATTCTGGTCCAGATTCCCAGGAGTGTCCTGGAAAAGTACAAGCCATTATTTACAAGGCAGCAGGATGCCGGCTTCCTCTGACATCGCTTGTGGCTGGGCTGCCGCCGCTGCATCCATTTCTGAAAATGCCTCCGGTGAGTGACATTTATCAGATCAAGTGCTCTCTAGTTCTGTTCCCCCAACACATAGACAATTCTCTTTGTAGATAATGTGGCCGGCCCGCCAGGCCCATGCAGCTGAATGATATGATTGGAGAAGATGCCATATCTCTTGCCTCCAGAAGCAAAGGAGCAGTGAGGGCGCTGAAGACCTTGTGTGATGTAAACCCAGGTCCGGCCTATCCTCTTCCCCCTCTCTCTGTTTATCTGTTTCTAAAGAAGGCTGCATCCACGGCGATGGGGGTGGGCATTGTGCACAGATCTATGAAAACACCCGGGCCGCCTTCTTGCTGCCATCCCTGTGTGCTGGCCGCCAGGCTGGGAGGCACTGGGACGTGTGGGCCGCAGCTGCCCTGAGATAAAGTGCTGCCAGCTGCCCACAGCAGCCAAAGAGTCATCAGCCCTGATATCCCACCCAGAGCTCAGCCCCCCTTGCCACCTGCTCCAGAGTGAATGTTCAAGAACCAGCTTGCTCCCCTCCTAGGCCCTGGGTACCCCCCACCCACTGCATGGCAGAACAGGGATGTCTAATGCTCTCTCTCTATGTGCCAGGCCAGGCTCTTCATGGTTGTACTGTTTAACCCAAAGGGTAGAATTTGGCCTCCTCCCATTTTACAAGCATGAGTGTTTCCTTGCCCAAGGTCACCCAGCTGGTGTTGGGCAGACCTGGGGCCGCGTCCCTCCTCTGCCCGCCTGTGCTGAGCACTTGACTTGATGTTTTTAGGCCCACTCTCCCCGCATGTACACAGGGGCTGCTCTGCTGACCGCCCTCTGGGCTGGGCTCCTCCCAGGGCTGGCCCTGCTTCCCAAGACAAGTTGAAGGCTTTCACTGACCTTCGGGTGGGCACCCCCTTCTCCTGGCCCCTCTATGGGAAGGGCACAGAGAGGTCATGATGGTTTGTCTCTAGGTCCTAACGCTCCGGTTCCTGCAGTTGTGGCCTCTCTTGGTGTTCTGGGAGGGGGGATGGGGCCGGTAGGCAGGAGGCCAGTCCTTAGAAGGCAGACCCCCAAACCACCAATGGGAAAGCCCATGATCCCTCTGGACAGCACCGCAGGGTTGACAAAGCATGGCCACACAGCCTCCCACTCACTGGATATTCCTCATCTGCCATGTCTGACGTCCCTGAGGTCCCTGCCTCATCTGAGGCTGCCAGGAGGTATGGTCACACCCGAATGCCCAGGTGAGGCCATGGAAGCCAGACAAGGAGCCCACTGCCCCCTGCCCAGCAACGAGAGTGCCTCTCTCCCATCGTTGTGTGAGGGTGAGGGCTGCGGCCTCTCAGATGTCTGAGGTCATCTAATTCCACCCCCTCTTTCTGCTGGATGACAAAGCCAAGGCCCAGGTGGGCAGGGATTTGCCCTGGACCTCCCAGACTTGGTGGCAGAGCCATCCAGGAGTTCTACCATCTTGGATGTGTGGCTGGATCAGTCATGGAGATGCACCCTGGTGGGTGTTGATGGCCGTATCTGCCCTGGCACCCTCCTGGGCTGCATGGTTGACCTTGGTTTTCCTAAGGACGGCTCCTTCATCCATCCCGAGCCCAAGAGAAGCCTGAGTGTCCAGGCTTCCTCGGCACTGCTGTCCCCGCCTCTTCTATCACCTGCCTTGCAGAGGGAGGTCAAAGGGACTGGTGCTCTGAACCAATGGGAGGCCTGGTGTGGGGTGAAGCAGGAAGGATGCTGGCTCCTGTGACAGCTCACTGCCCCCCACCCCCCAGGCCTTGGGACCAGGTCTTTCTACCGCACCCCCACCAGGGAGGCTGGGGGGGGAGCTAACTGATGAGACATCAGTGATCTGTGCCCATAAAGCCCCACAGAGTGCCCTTTCTCCGCGGCCCTGCCCTGTGCAAGGTCTCCAGGTGACCCCAAGCTAGGGGGCCGTGGGGGGTGGGGAAGTAGGGCCTCCATGGTCCTCCACCCCACCTCCTACCCAAGGTGCTCAGGCTGCATTTCCCAAACCTACTTAATTCTCCTTCAAATGGAAGGGAGAAAATAGCAAAGGGAAAGTCCCAGAAGCTCTGAAAGGCTTTCACAGGCTCTGAACAATTAGGCAGGCGGCTGAGAGAAATGGTCCGAATGCCGGGAGGAGGCAAAGTCACTGGCAGAATTTTCCATGACGCTCTCTCCTCCCTGTCATGGGTGTGTGTCCACGTGAGGGATCCCGAGGGAGAGGGGCTCTGCGCTGAACCCCGCTGAAGGTGCCCAGGGCGTGATGGCCATGGCTCCGGAGAAGGGAGAGGCTCTGGGCGCGGCTGGCTGGGGGAGTCCCTTCCCAGGGCCTCTCTGCCCTCTGCCCTGCCCTGTGACCCCCTAGGGCTTTGAGTGCTCTCTTCAAGGCCATGCGGGGGAATATCCTGCCTTACAGACCTTGGGGAGACCCCTACATACCCAGCACGGGGTGAGGGGGTGACCGGCCTCGGGGCCGGGGTCCTGAGCCCGGATTCCGGAAAATGCTGCCTGCTCCCCTTTAATTACCCCAGGGGTTAGAAGCCCGACCCAAGGCCTGCAGTTTTCACTTTCTGGAGGCCTGGCCTTGGAGCTCAGTCATTATCTGCCAACACCACCTACTCATGCTCATGGTGGAGTGTGAACCGCGCTGCTGGCAAAGCAGAGGAAGGGAGGCTGAGACCGCGAGGGTACAAGGCTGGCATGCTGGTCTCTGCGGCTTCTAAAGATGCCAGAACAGACCTAGAAGGAGGTGGCGAACCTCACCACCCCCACCCCCACCCCCACTCCAGGGGCGGGGCTTGCAGGGGGACCAGAGGGAGTGGAGATTGTGGGCAAGCTAATCCGCTTTCAAGCCACATGGGCTGCTTGAGGAAACTGGTGCCCTGGAAACCTTCCCCTGTGACCAGCTCCCCAACCCCCCACTCCCATGTTTATCTTTGCACCCACTCAGGTGGCCTCTTCTTGGGGCATGAGGATCTCTTCACCCACACAGCCAAGGGCACTGCTGACTCGACCTTGGGTTTCTAAGAAACACTCAGACTCAAGTGCAGAGTTCCCAGTGACGGATGGAAATGCTGCCATTGATGGCGGTTGTAGGTGGACAGGAAGTGACTGCATGTGCTTTCATTTTCCTTTGGTGCTGAATTGCCTGATGGATTTTAGCTGAATCCTGGCCTGGTTATACCAGCCACTCCTGGAACTTTGGCTCCCCCATCACAAGTGAGAAGCTTGAAGCAGAGATCACTCGAAGCTCTGGGCCTCTTGAAGGACACAGAGTCTAGCGTTTGCCGGCCAGGCTTCCATGTGGGGCTGAACGGCCCCTTGCCAGGTAGAGAGCCCCACACCCTCGCCCTGCCCCGCCCAGCCCAGCCTGGTCCCCGCTGCCTGCAAAAGCAGGCAGCAGGAAAGGCCTGAAGCACCCGCCGCTGCCCTGCTCTGCAGAGGTGGGTATCCAGCGAGCGGCCCAAGAAGCTGCATTTGACCTTCGCTAAAATTAGGTCCCAAGACCCAGGGGGCAATTGAAATGAGGATGAAAATGAGAAAGCAAATTGAGGGCATCGGAAGATGTTAAAAATATGTGCGTATTAATGGAAGCGGTGAAAATCAGGCTCCAATAGGCCCAGGAAGCCCTCGCGCCACTGTCATTATTTTTGTCCAGGATCAGAGGCTGTGGGGCTGGAAGGGCCCCCGAGGAGCACCTGGTACACCACGTCCCTCATCCTACAGACTGGAAAATTGCCCACAGAGGGCGGTGACGTGTCTGAGGCCACACACAGAGCAGTACCCAGCTGCGACAATCATATGGAGCCAACCGATCCCATCGGGAAGTGGACCAGGAGGAAGGACCCCTGGGGCCACCCCCCCCATCCCGTAGTGCCCCTGGAAGGAGCCCAGCTGAGTGGGGCATGGAGGGGTTCCCTCATGGTTCAGTTCAGTTCAGTTGCTCAGTTGTGTCCGACACTTTTCAACCCTATGGACCCCAGCACGTCAGGCCTCCCTGTCCATCACCAACTCCTGGAGTTTACTCAAACCCATGTCCATTGAGTTGGTGATGCCATCCAACCATCTCATCCTCTGTTGTCCCCTTCTCCTCCCACCTTCAATCTTCCCAGCATCAGGGTCTTTTCTAATGAGTCAGCTCTTCGAATCAGGTGGCCAAAGGATTGGAGTGTCAGCTTCAGCATCAGTCCTTCCAATGAACCCTCATGGTTACACATTGCCCAGCCTATAAGGAGCCTAATAAATCTCGGCTATTACTTTCCTTATTAATACTGACCAGTGAGTGGTGTGATGTGAGAGCTGTGTTTGCAGAGGGTGGGCAGGGAGAGAAAGGCCAGGCTGGCCCCTCCAGGGGTGGCCCAGCGTGTGTACCAGGTTGGGGCTTGGGGGGGCTGCTGCAGAGGAGGAGCAGGAAGGGGAGATGGGGGGCGAGGAGGTGAGGGAGGCCATGAAGTGGGGAGCTCATGGACACGCGCTTACCACAGCAGCTACTACATGCCCACCCGGCCGGGCTTGGCTGGCGTATCCCACAGCCCTCGCAACAACCCAGTTAGCACCCCGTTACACAGCCAGCATCCCAGACAAGGTGGGCTCAGCAAGCCCCCGACACTCCTGAGCTCCGCCTGGAGTTCCCACCTTGCTCCCCCCACATGCCTGGTGCCCCTGATGTGCTCCCGGGCAGCCTTGCCGCTGCCCCCCCCCACCCCGCCCAGCCTCTGTCTTTCACCTGCTGCTTGTCTGTAAAGCCTCCCCTGAATCAGGAGCTGGCCTGGGCCAGTCTTGAAGTGGAGACCAATGATCTCTGCTTGGTGGTTCTCCTGGCCCAGGAAGGGGGCTGGGCATCAGGCCTTGGTGCAGGGCCTTGGCTTCCTCATCCACGAACGGAGGCACTGAACTCTCCTGAAATGCCTCTGGCTGGAGCCCACTGAACACCCCCAAAACGCCTCTAGCTGGGGACAACCCCAGGAGTCTCTGCAGGCCAACTCCCCAGGCCTGGGTGGGCTCTGATCCCTATGTGACATCCTCCTCACGCTACTGGGGCCCTGCCCCCTGAAACAACATGGGAGAGAGACCGGGAGGGGGATGGAGAGGATGCTGGTGGGCCTGAGGACACGCTCGGGATTCCAGCCCCTTGTGGGCTCAGACCCACTAGACAGCCCAGCCCCGGGGCCCTGCGGGGGACGGGCATGGAGGTGGAGGGCACAAGAGAAAAGGGGGGAAGGGCTCCCCCTTTGGGCTCTGGCTGACTGTCTATATGATCTGGAGAACTGTAGTGGGGTGATTTATCCTGAAAGTAACCGAACAACACTGAGTACATGATAAAGTCTGTTCACGGTATTGGTCTATCTCTTTGAAATATTTCCTAATACAAACACAAAGCTGAACACTGGAGGGGAGAACCGTTTCATAAAACAAATAAGGAGACGTAACAAAAGCCCAGATGCAGCCATCTCAGGGCTGATTGGAGGGGCTCTGGCTGTTTCTAGGCAGGCTTTGGGACGCTGCCCTCCCCTTGCGCTGGTGCGAGGGGGCTGCTTTCGGATACCTGGGGAGAACACGTCCTCACCCTCTCTCTGGGGACACAGGGCTTTCCCGACCCCCATCTGGGGCAGAGCCCTTGTGAAAGGTGTCCTGTGGGTGTAGGACACAGCCCTGCAGGACTTGGACTGGCTGATGGAAGCTGGGCTGAGCTCCCAGGCTGGGCTTTGCCCCTGGGCTCTGAGAAAATACAGGAAGTACTGACCCAGCTGTTCCCATAAAGGTGATGACACGCACGCTTGGCCACTCCTGGGCGCCTGAAGCCATCCTCCCACCTGGGGCTTGGGTCGCAGTGACCGACAGGCTGGTGAGGCGCTTGGCCCATTGGTCGATCCCACAAACCAACTAACGCAGGTGCCAGCTCTCTGCTGGTGCCACGGAGAGGCAGAAGCCAGACAGACCCCGGCCAGGGGTCATAGTCTAGGGGAGAAAGGCAAGCTCAGCAAGAGCCATGGCTCAGGGGAGAGTCATGGAGAGAGGTCGCCAGGAGGGAGGTCTCCCCAGGGACAGCCGTGGAGGGCTTCTCAGAGGAAGTGGCCTTGGCCTTGAGCCCCTTTGGCTGCTCTTCCTCTGCTTGGAGGCTCTCCAGCTCCAGTGCGCATGACACTCCCTGGGGCAATCTGGGCCCCAAGGCCTGCGGATTCTGCCCTAGGAAATGTGTGTGGGCTCAGGACTCTGCAGGCTTAACTGACTTAAAGGTGAGTCTGGTGCAAGCAGGCCTTGAGTGGGGTCTTTGGGGTCTTCCTGCACAATCTCGGCCAGCTACAGAGGCCTGGGGGAGATGGCCAGAGCCCTGAAGCCCACGAGGTGACCTTGGTCACAGAG